AAATACAATTAAATAATACATTTTGAGGAACATTTTACAAATCACCACAAAGCCAGTCATTTTTAATATTTTTTTGTTATTTTTATTAATTGAATAAACCATTTCCCTTGACATTTGGTTTGTTAATATGTGTCTGAGATATGATTATTTCAAGATATATGGAATCCGAGGGTTAAAAAAAATCTAAATGTTGATCAAATCAACTTCATGATTGAACAAATGAAGCTCTTAGGAATGCATATTAGTAATGAAAAGTAAGTTTAGGTGTTTTTATGGTAGATAATGGAAGAAAACAAAGCATATAGCTGTCATCTGATGTATTCTGTGGAAACTGTTATAGAAATGTAAAATGCTTCATAATTAATTAAACATTATAAACAAATTGATCAAAAGTGATAGTAAAGACGTGTACACTATTTATCTATTCTCTTTTTTATATTGTTATATTTCACTTCACTAAATTATCAAGCAAAATTAAAACTCTTCTTGATTGTATAATAATTAAACACCAATACCTGTTCTTTTAGAGAGATTTCTGAGCTGATGCTGCTGAAAATACAGATTTAATGCTATTTTCTCATATATATTTAAATAGATCTTCATTTACAGAACATTACAGAGCTAAATATTGCTGATCAAGTAAATAAATGCATGATCAATAAACACACACACACACACGTATATGCATGTAAAACTGAATAATAACACTTTTGTCTGATCAGAGTGTGAGAAATGCAGAAAACACATGACGCTCGTGCACGTGGGGAGTGCTGACGTCACGGTATAATCGATTATGAGCTGCATATGAGGGGAGGATCCGCGAAGCCCCGCCTCCACTGAGCACAAATCATCAGAAATCATATATATAGATAGAAATATATATTCATATCTCGTGTTCAGTCGTAGATCTGCTGATAGAGGAGAGGAGGAGGATGAGTGAACGCGTCGCCTTCATCACGCGCGTCTGCAGCTTCAGCGCCTGCCACAGACTACACAGGTAATTAACTAACTAATCAATTAATTAACTAAATAACTAATCAGTAACTAGCCACCTGTAAACGGTCACTGAGGGATATTTTCAGCTGTAACGCTTTATATCTGCACGCTTTTGTCCGGCGCGTGCATGTGTGTGCGCGCGCTGTTTTTACTAATCTTATTCTTTGTATTTTCATGCTAACACACTTTCATGAGCACAACGTGAAATGTCGTACAACAGTTTTGCGTAAATTCGTTGATAATATTTCTACAAGCAGTCTGGATTGCGAAAAGTACTTGTTGCAGGAAGTCAGAAACACGCCTGCGTCAACAGGGAGGAATTCTGGGAAGTGTAGTTTAACGTGACCACGCGTAACAGTGATTTTCTTTCACTTTATTTCATCCTCTTTGATTAAACCTTCAAATAACAAACAAACTCTCATCTTCCATTGTTAAACATGTATTTACACACTACTGTATATCCAAGCAGCATATAATAAACTAAATAGTGCAATAAATAAAACATCGAATAATACTATAATGTAATTTACATTTCAGTAGGGGGTTAAGGCACTATTTTCTCTTTAAATGTGTCAAGGATTGAAATAAAAGTCAGAAATTATTTTTTAAATGTTGGAAACAAGGAGAAACTTTAACAAATCTAAACACTGAATTTACTAAAACATGATCTTTGTTACTGCTTATTTTTAGTCATTGATTTATTATTATTATTATTATTTTTATTATTATTATTATTATTATTATTATTATTAGCCCTATGAAATTATTTTTTTTTTTTTCATATATTTTGCAAGTGATCTTTAACAGATCATGTCGGTTTTCAGAGTATTTCCTATGTTTAGTTTGGCTGGAATGTGATGCATTGCTGTTGTTGTTGTTGTTGTTGTTGTTGTTGTTGTTGTTGTTGTTAATGCATTTATTGGATGTATTTCAGTAAATGTTTGAGTGATGAGGAGAATAAGAGAACGTTTGGGAAATGCAACAATCCTAATGGTCATGGCCATAACTATACAGGCGAGTTATTAAATATGTGCTATTAATTATGATCGCATTATCAGTGTCTCTCTTATGTCGTGCAAGAGCTCAAGTAAATCTCTTCATATGCTTCATTTCTGTTCTA